GGGCTTTTCCCCCCTCCTCCCCCTGGAGCCTTTCTTAGCCCTTTTTTTCCCCCTTCACCCTTTTTTTTGTTTTTTTTCCCCTGGCCCCCCAAAATTGGGCCTGGGCCCAATTGTTCTCTTTCACTTTTTTTTTCGGGTGGCCCCCCCCCCCCCCCGGGGGGGGGTTTTTCCCCCCCCACGGACACTTTTAAGGTTGGTTTGGCTTGAGCGTTTTTTTTTTCGGTAACCCCCGGGAGCCATGGTTCCTTCTTCCATGCGCACCGATTATATCCTTTTCGAGCGGTATGACGTTCCCCCGGTCCCCGTGCGGGGGCGGGTGTAATATTCCGCCTCCCCCCCGGGGGGGGTGCTATAAATTCGGGGTTTGGGGGGGGGGGGGGGGGGGGTTCGAAGCTTTGAGAGCGATATATCGGGGCATGCAGCTGCGGGAAAGGAATCTGATGGTGTTGGAGGTGTTGTCTTCACGTTACAAAACCGTTCCAGTCTCTGCCCCGTACCATCTAACCTAAATAGCCGAAAAAGGGTGCACAAGTCAGTTCGTCAGATCAACAAATACAAAGAGCTGCTTTGGGGAATGCGCAAACATAACGCACCGGTATTCACACGAACTATCAGCAAAACACGCGAAAACCTAGGCGAGGGAAACATGTGTTGAAGGAAAGGACGATAAGACGAGGATACACGTTCCCGGGCGGAGCGTGGGGTGTGGTAGCCGTAGATGTCCCCAGGATAACGCACACCCTGGACCTTTTCTCAAAGCCCGATTCCTGAGTGTGCTGAAAATGGCGGCGTTGGGTGTTGGAGGAGTCTCCATGTCGAGAGCTTTCCAAAAAACTCAAAAACCACAAAGTTGGACTGACTCCTCTTCGTTGTCGTTGTGGACTAGACTAATGGTCTAGTGGTATATTCTAGCAACTTACGTACAAAAATACCCGTAGCTGTCTCAGTCTACGGTACACACGTAGACAAATACCTGTAGATAGATGTCTCAAATGTGTGCAACGTACGGCGGTACACACGTGCCCACATACCCCTGTAGCTGTTCAAAATGTTTTTTAGTTTGTATTTTTTTTTACGAACAACACAACAGACCATCTTTTACAAAGAGGGGAGTCCGAGGTATAGCAGATGCTCGCAACTTACTGTACACCGCATACCTGTAGCTGTCTGAGAGTCTGCAGCCTCTCCTCCTCCGGCATTAGCTTCATCCCGGGGGGACAGGAAGGGTCCGGCGCTTCCGCCTTTCGACGGTCCGCTTCCCTCTCCCACTGCTCTTGCCTCGACACCAGGTACTCCGGCACCTGTGCGCGCGCGTGTGTGTGTGTGTTGAATGGGCGATGAATGCCAACCCGGAGGATGTGGGAAAGCGTGAGGAACACGAGTGAGGATCAGAGGGGGGGCATGGGAGAGAAAGAGAGAGAGAGAGAGAGTGTGCTTTTTTTCTTAAATGCAAAAATGATCTATCTTAGAGTTCGTAGCTTACCCTAACCCTAACCCTCCGCCTGTAACCGCATCACGGAAAGTAGTTTTATTGGATTGAAACTGCGGGTGTTGCCATGATTCCCAGGTTACAACGTTTCCCCACGCGGCAACAAGACCATCCTCGCCAACACCAACACCAACAGCAACGATAACGACAACAACGACAACAGCAACATCACCAACAACCAAAACAACAACAACAACAACAACAACAACAACAACAACAACAACAACAACAACACCGTAGAGGCAGCGAAAAAAAAAATAAAAAAACAGGAAACAGCCCTCATGACTCACCCTGCCGTAGCTATCGTGCGTGAACGTGGTGTCCCGCTCGGACACGTCCTTCGCCTTCATCTCCGCAGCCTTCAACAAAAAAAAAAAAATACCAAGGAATCACCCCCCCCCCAAAAAATAAAATAAAACGACATGACGGTTACAACAGTTAAACGGGATTACGACTCTTATTGCTGGAAGGAGGAAAGAAGAAAATGAACGAAGATGGAAAAAAACGGTCACGTTTGTAGGTAAAACGAGTTATCTTGCGAATGTAGACATGGGGCGGTTATTTCATGCGGGAAACGGAATCAAACAACTCTCGCGCGTTCGCTGTTCCTCACGCCCATGACAAGCAAACACGCGAAAACTCACTGCAACATTCTGCTCACTGTCCCTAACGCTGAGCGGCGGGAGATAGCTACTTGTAGCCACACCTTCCTTTTGTTCAATGCGAAAACACAACGCCACTCGGCAAGTCATGTTCGTAGATCAGCACAATACAAAAAAAAAGGAGAGCACAGACGATGAACACATGGGGCTGGCTATCTATCGCTTTTGCAGCGTCTGCATCTCCACAGCAGCAGCGGTGGAACCACATCGGCGGACGCATAGGTTCAGTGGTGGAACGGAAATGTTTTTTTAAAGATCTGTCAGCACAGCAATAGAGGCAAACATAGGACAGACTCAATACACAAAATGAACAGAAGCTACGCAAGGCATCTTTCAAGCTGGAGACATGGACAGGATGCTGGTGCGGAGAAAGAGAAAACGATTACAATCCTCAAAAGACAGCACAACAACACTAGACATGACCCCCCGGTCGTCGCATACCCCCCCCCACACACACACACACCTGCATCCGATTCGCAGCCACGAAGTCCCTGTCCGATCGCGGGGCTAGCTGCGCAACGTCCCCCGCTCTAGGCACCGCCTCCTTTCTTGGCGTAACCCCACAGCCGCCGCCGCCACCACCACCGAAGTGGTAGTCCGCCGCGGAGCCCCCTGCGGCACCACCACCCCCCCGCCCCCGACGGCTAGAAGAAGGAGAAGAAGCCCCTTCCTCCCGACCGTGCGAGCCGCCTCGCGAACCTTGTCAGATTGTTTTGTTGATCAACATTGCGGTCGACCACAACGTTATGTAGCGTGTTTTTTCAGAGATGGACACGCACAATACGAACATGCACACATACATGCAGGCCTACATACATACGCGCGTGTAATTTGTGATTTCCATACCCAAGAACAAACGGCAAAACTCGGCTGGTGTCTTGCCGACAGAAGATAAGCACATCAGCAAGCTATTGGTACTGGCCTCTTTTACCATTCAACGAGCTCATATTCCAAGGTGCAGCTCCGATCGAGCGTTCGGGGATCATCGAGAGAGTTCTTTCCCACCACTCTACTCCGAACTGAGCAACAAATGAAACAGGTAAATAGCAGCCGCCGCCGCCGCCGCCGCTGCCGCTGCCGCAGCAGCAGCGCCACAAGCTCATCTCGCGACTTCACAGCAGCAACACTAGGATGGGAAGCAAACGCAACGGCATCCCCAGCAGTGCTTGCTACAGACAGCAGCACCAGCGGCGTCGGCTCTGTACCTGAACCACCGAAGGCGGCACCGCTATCGGGAGAAGCGCAGTTCGGCGGCGGCGAAAAGGTCGACGGTCTATACATCGTCCCTGTCGCCCCGAATAGCTTCGATCCCGTCGCCGTTACCGCCCCCGCCGCGCTGTTGTTGTTTTCTTGCCGCCGCCGTACGGCCGCTTGCCGCAACTCCGTTGCCACCTGGAAGGGGAGGGGGGTAGCGTAAACGCATGCCCTTGGTTCTTAGATCAATGACCTCGCATCCCTACCATGCCGGGGAGAGGGGTATGCCGGGTTTTTGCCGGCCCAGGCTACCTTGCCCAAGGATCAACCAGAATCTGGTCATCATCCTCTCGTTTGCTTTCCGGGGGGGGGGGATGTACTCATGTTTTGAATCCTTCAGTTCAGGTGTCAGACCATTGACCATGCGTCCTCGACAGAGCATTGTTCGTTCCCACAGGGCCGATCACCGATGGCCAATCGTCCCTTCCTACTTTGCCGGAAAGGTACCCCAAAAATGTAATCCCTACCCTATCGGAGGGGGTGACGGGGACCGTTCGGACTAGGGGTTGAAGAGGGTCGACAAACGGCACAATAAAAGCAGCCCCAGAGGCAAAGGGGGCGGGGGGTACCTTCCTGTCTCTTGGTGGAAGCGTGGGCCTGGAGAGGGGTCGATAGGGAAAACATGGTAGATATACCTCTTCTTTCTATCTCTTTTTGCTCTTTCTGGGAGGAAGTTGTGGGGGAAAGACGGCCATGTGGTGCGTGCCCCGTGGGGGGTTGTCGGTACGCCAACCGCAGGGTTTTCAATGGTTATGATGGCCTTTGATTTCGGCGGGAGAAGGGGTCCTGCAAGATGCACGCTTTACGGGGTGCTGCTCCTTGAGCGGCTGGCTAGCAAAAGGCGACGGGACGCGAGAGGCCGTCCGGCAACGCCGTGAGCAAAAGATTGCACAGCAGCAGAGGTTCGACAACAAGTTGAGAAAAGCGGCTTCGCGCGCGACAGGTCACTCCTTCCTTTCGCCTTTGCGCATTGTGATGTTGTATGGCTACGCCCACCTTCTCTCGTGTGCCTCTTCGGAGGAAGTCTCGCGACGCCGGCAGTGTCTTCTCGTCGCACCCGGGTGTCTTCGTCTTTTGGCCCCAGCCACACAAAAAAAGAACAAAAAAAAGCCAGAACAATAAAAGAAGGAGAAGCACACCCACGCACAAAAACATTGCTGTCACACCTCATGATGGAAAAAAACAGGGGGGGGCCGGCATACTCTTTATGTTTGGCATGCCCTAGCGGCTTGACCATTGACCACGCGGCCTCGAGAGGACGGGGGGTTCGCATGTTCAGGCCGTGTCTTATGCGAACACAGCTGTTATTGTGGATGGAGGTCTACTGGATGCCACTTGCACCGCAGGTGTCCAAGCGAGACTCTACAGCCCTATGTCTACCTCAATTTGCGGTGCATAGAAACAAAATTGGCGCCCTAAACACAGCCGACGCCTCACGAAGCATTCAGCTTGTCAACAACAAAGGTCTACGCAGGTTTCTCAAAGCAAGCAAACATACTGGACAAGGGATAGAATCAGCCAAGTTGGATTCAGGGTTAGGGTCTACGTGCCCCCTCCCAGGTCTTTTTTCGTAATGAACTTGCTTTCTTTGCCTGCCCCGCCTGGTCTTTTGTCGTGCTGGGCTTCCTCTCCTTGCGAAGGCATTCCAAAAAGAAAAAAAACAAACAGTTTTACCGTTTTTATACCTGGGAGATCTCCGTTCCCGTCGCACCCGCCGAGGCGAATCTGGACTTGACGTTCTTAAACTGCCGGAGCTTGAACGGCTCCGCCGGGGGTGCGGCCTCCTCTTCCCGCCGCTGCGGACCCCGGAAATCGGCCAAACACCGCGGAGCGAGTAAATACGGACGGACGCCGGTTTTTGTTTCGGATCCAACCGTGCGGACGAAACGCGCCGGTCAAACCACCTGGCTCTCATTTTGCGACGCCAACCTGAATAGACTTATTAATTATGCTTGTAAACTTGGGGCGTGTACTACTACATGTGGTACGTGCTGCTCAGAATGTGCTTCGGGGAAATAATACACTAAACGCACTGCTACTTTGTAGGCGTGCACTACTTACGGCACGTGCTGCTCAGAATGACGTCGGTGAAAATACACTAAACTTAACTGCTACTCGTAGGCGTATGTTCATACGGCACGCGCTGCTCAGGATGCGTGGGTTCAGAAGGTGAGGCGACAGGAGGCAGAACGTCACATTGATCAAGCGAGAAGACACGTTAATGCATGGCGGGCTCGGCGTGCAGCGGAGAGACGGGTCGCCATGCGAAAGGAGAAAATACTTTCAAAAACAAAGCTAGGCAATGCTAGGGGGCTCTCGAAAAAAAAGGGGCGCAGCAGCAGCTTTTCAGGTGCTTTTCCCGCTTGGGAGCAGGGTGTATGGTGCGCACGGACCAACATCCAGCAAGCGTGGGTAAAGAGGATGTTCGCTCCAAAGCAAAAGCGGGCAAAATTCCGGGGGGTGGGGGGGTCAAACCCACGGCAGGTCCAGAAAAAGCACGCCGTGCCAAAACCAAAGACGAAAACGACACAAAAATCTTTCCTACTGGATTGGATCTCCGGCTGAAGTGATACTCCAAGGGGGAGGAGGGGGGGGGGGGCTTGGGCGTGCTCTTTGTCTGCTTGTGGCAGAACGTGTGGATACTCGCCTGCCGGTTTTGCGCCTGAATCTCCTTGATGTTCGCCCTGTTGTCCAAACGGTAGTTCTTCACAGCGGAGCCGCCACCTCGGTGCCTGCCGCGGTCGAGTATCCCCCGCCCCCCCGCATCGGTCACACACAAACGACAGCAGTGGTGCAGCGAAACACGACGTCAGCTACACTCGAACAAAGTCGGGTACTTGTACAGCAAGACTGACTCTCTGGCAGTGTTGAGAGGTCGGTCTCCTCGTTGTGTTAGGTTTCGTGTTTCGACCTGCAACCTTGATTGACACACTACCGGAGTTTCTCCAAACGTCGGAGAATTCGTTGCCAAAAACAAACACAGCTTGTGACCTACAGCAGTGGTATGCATTGCTGTTGTCGTGGTGTTGCCTCTATACGGCAGTAACAGCAGCAGTACGAAGCAAAAAACAGTCGTCGAAGATCCAATCTTTTCCTGTGCGTTTTTTTTTTTTTTTGGAAGTGTTTGCCCGCTTCGCGGCAGGACACAACACAACAGAGCCGCCCTTGCAGCGACCACTGAACTACGCACGGTACCGATCCTCAGCGCAGCAGCGGCAATTTGGTTCTCGCCGACGCTCGTGCTTGTATTATTCACCACCCTCACGACAGCAGTCAGAGTCATCGGACACACCTTCGATCATGATTTCCACCAGTCCCGACCGGCTGCCTCTGCAGCAGAGCCCCAACGCTGTCCTTGTAGACGGCTTCGTTGTACCGCCGGGGCATGTTGCCTTCCTAAGCTTGCCTCCTGAGCCCCAGCAATTGCTTTGTCGAGATATGCACCACCTACCTAGTAAAGCAGAGCGGACGTGTCTCCGATTTGAAACTTGGCCGTTACAAAAGCGGGGGCTAAATCGGCGGCCACGCCTGTCTGCTGTCTGGCTCCAGGCAAGCGTAGAAATACTAGCCTTCTGGTGGTGGGGGAATTAAATATCTACACCAGATGTCCTCTCTCTCGGGTCCCTTTGGTGTGAGATGAGGCAGCAGAGCATCGGACTACACGGACCCCCGCCGGGGAGTGTGGGAACCGGAGATGGTATTGTGCCCCCCCGGCGACTAGACCACGCCCCAAAGAATATGACTCTTATAAAACCTGGTTTTATAAGGGATAAGAGTCATATTCTTTGCCACGCCCCCCGCCAATATTCCACTTCGTCGTGCCTCCTCTCCGAGTTCACCCCCCCCCCCAGTACCGTGAGAGGTGAACCAACCCATGGGTATACGACGACGACGGGCCTATGACTGCAGAGCGAGGAGACGATGCCGGGGTCAGGCTCCACGGTAAGCCGAGCACGAAGTCGTGAGCGAAAGGCTTCCGTGTTTGCCGCTGGAGGCCGCGTGTTCTTGTAGAGCCAGCTGTGGCGCTGTGTAGCCTACCGAGTTTCCAAAGGCTACATAGCCTGTGGGAGCCTCCGCCGACCTTACCAGTGTAGCTCTGTGCTTGCATTGTTTACCTGGCACGTACTGAGCGCTGATTGTGATGGATTGCCGGCCGGCACTGCTTGCCGTGTAGACGAAACTCGCAAACATGACGAGTGCGGTGCATCATCAGCGAGCAGCCAGCAGCCACCGAGTTTAAAAAAACTACCGGTAGACTATGCTGTACAACCCGGCATGGTACTTGTACAAGTATTGCATTTCCTCCACTTACTGAAAAGACTCTATTAATAACAGATCCCGTTCGACTTCTGTGGGTGTATCTCGAACGGGTAGTCTTTCTGTGTTCGTACTTATTTTTCCTAATGCCTATGCAGAGGTACCTTCGTAGAATTCCCGGTCCATGTGCCGCTCTCCGTCTTCGGGGGAAAGGTATGAACTATTTAGTAGCTCGGAGGGTGCAACCGCTTGCCAGCCTGCTTTGGTATAATAGTACTTCACCAAGTGCAATGGTCGCTTGCATGGGATTAGGGTTAGGATCTCATGTGGTGCAATACCTGTTACTGGTGTAACGAAGGTCTACATGTCTGCATGCTTGGCGGCGGTACGCGAACCCACGGGTTGCGTTAGTCGGCAAAGGAATCGACTGCTATTCAAAGACACCGAGCAGGCGTAAGAACGGCTTCAGACCACGCGGCTGCAGATAGTGTACTGCTGTGACTGCCGAGGGACTCACTCTGCTGCTTGTTTTTACAGTGAAGTAGTACTGTACATAGCTGTAGGCTTGTGTACTGTAGTAGAGCGACACTGGCCGTAGTCGTCGTAGTCTTTGTTGTCCCTTCCTGCTATCCGGGCGGCCTGGCGAACGTTACGCACCCGATGCAGGCCTGTCCACAAGTACTCTCACCGTACATCTTCACTCTGTGTCTCTACCTCTGTCTTTGTCTCTCTGTTGATGTCTCCCTTTCTCTCTCATTCTCTCTGTCTGTCTCTGTCTCTGTCTCTGTCTCTGTCTCTGTCTCTGTCTCTGTCTCTGTCTCTGTCTCTGTTTCTGTCTCTTTCTCACTCTGCCTCTGTCCTGTTTCTGTATGTCTCTCTCTCTTCTCTCTCTGTCTCTCTCTCTCTCTCTTTCTCGCTCTCCCTCTCTCATTCTCTGTCTCGTCTCTCTCTCTGTCCCCCTCTCCCTCCCTCCCCCCCTCTCCCCCCCAAACAGTTGGCGGGCTGGCACGCGGGGTTGACCCGAACGAGCTGGCGGCCCTAATCGCTCGCACCCTCCCGTCAGGGACAGCCTCGCCGACAGCCGAGATCATGCGCGACGCATCCACGGGCATCGAGCGCGGGTTTGGGTACGTCAGCATCCCTGGTGGGGAAGGGGTGAAGGCGGGAGCGGAGAGGGCGATAGCGGCGTACGACGGGGCCAGGTAAGGCGTTGTGAGAGCGAGTGTGTGGGTGTGGGTACAGTAGGCGTTGAGGTGGTCAAGAGGTACTTCACCATCGATGAGCTGAGACGAAGTCACCGGACCGCAATCAGCGTGAGAGGAATTAATTACCCGCGGGTTGTTTTGTGTTGAGGTGGAGGTTGCGAAGGAGAAATTTACCTTGCAGCAGGCATCCTTTATCGAACTCGCGACGTGCAAGGGCGTAGAAACGGTGGAGGAGTTTCATGGAGCATAACCTAAATTTCTGGGGCGTACAAGAGGAGTGCGTGTTGAGGGGCGAGGGACTGACTGAGACGTGCTCGGCCAGAAGGGCGCATTTCGCAGTAGCTCTGTTTCGAGAGGGGGGGGTGGGTGGGCTATGTCATCGGTTGTTACTACAATATGCATACCGCGGTTCCACCGGCCGCTACGACGCGACGAACCACGGAAAATACCGTGTGCAACAGTACCCCGACAACCACTTTCACGTGGAACATTTCCAGCCAGCTCCCACGGAAAATACCGTCTAAACCACTTTTTGCACGTTGAACCTTACCAGCCGGCCGCTCCCTTGGGGCTCCGCCCCCGCCTGATGACCCCGTCCATTGTCCCGATCCCGACCTTAGCGTTGTTTCGGCTAGGGGTATCCTTTTCTGCCGGTGCTGTTGTCTGCCCTTTCGATCAACAACATCTCTGGGCGGACCGATCAAGCGCTGACTGAACAACCCGGCGTGGCTCATTTTTTCTATTTTGTCGTCATTTTTTTTTTTTTTTCGCAGGTGGAAGGGCGGCAAGATCAGGGTGGGCTTCGCCAAGGGCGACTACCTGCAGCGCCTCAAGGCCGAGTGGGACGCCGCCGCGAAGAAGAAGAAGGAGGAGGAGGAGGAGGCGTCGGCACCGACAACGACGGCGGCGGGTGGGCCTAGCAAGACCCCCGTGCCTCCAGCCGTGGCCTACAAGGCGCGACCGTTTCTCAGGCTTCGGCGGAGGCCCGGTGAGCGGGGGTGGAAGGGGTCATGCATATGCATATGCCGCATTCACTTGTTTTTTTTGTGTTTTTGTTTTCTGTGTTATGCGTACAGTACCATGTTTTTTGGACAACAAGCTGGGAGGCTCGTTAAAAAAAAAAGCCGCTCGTGCCGGCGTTTTGAGGGAAGGTACATGGAACACGACCACCTTCTTAGTTCCCCCCCAAAAAACTTTGTAGTCGGGATTTACTTTTTTTTTATGTCTTTTTCTCCGCTGACTCTTGGAGGAGCCGGTGGTGCTGTGGTGTCTGCCCACACCGACACGAGAGTGGCTGGCTGGTGTGACTGAGGATTTCACCACGCGCCGCTGACATGATGATGATACAGCAGCAGGGGCCCCTCTATTTAAGTCTGCATTATGCCGCCAAGGGATGTGCACTTATTCCGCGTGTTTCATCTACATATGTCACACGCGATTTCACCGGCCCTGTACAGCGGGCACCGGCCTTCCTTTCCAGGCCTTTTACAGGGACCACCACACTCTGGTGATGCGACACCCCCTCCCTCTTCTCGCGAAAGTACTGCGTGCCATATGGTCTGGCCATGGTACCCCCGACTGGTGATGATTCGACGGTACCCCCCGATTGATGACGATACCACGGTACATACCCCCGAATGATGATACAATGGTTCCCCAGACTGATGGTGATTCCACGGTGCCCCCCCGACTTATGATACGACGGTACCCCCCGGCTGTCTCGCCGCATTCTGAACGCGTTTTAACGACGCGAGTGCGCAGGAGAGCGCGTTGTCCTGGTTGACCCCACGCCCATCGCCTGGGCCAAACCAAGCCGGAAAGACCCCAGGACTTGGAACAAGAGGGAGGAAGAGGGGGGAGAGGAAGGGGGGGACGGCGGGACGCACAGGCGCAAGCGGGGGGTGCTGGGGGCCCGGCGGAGGGTAGAGTTCCCGGGGAGGGAGGCGACGTGCTCCACCAAGTGTCGGGAGCTATGGCGGAGACATTTACAGGTGTGATGACGACGTCCCATGCGTCATGTATATAGCAGCCTTCGAAAGTTGTGTGGTGAAGTGCGGTGGCCGCGAGAGAAGGACCTCCCCGCCTTTCGGAAGAACCGGTGTTTTGGTGGGTGCGTTGGCGGGATGGTGTCGCTGTGGCAGAGGTAGTAGGTCAATAATGGCAGCACAGAACAGAAATATGCTCAGGCCAGTTGTTATGGGATTTTTTACCGATTTGGAAGCGGGGGGATTGACAGAAAATGCTTAACCACTCCCAAAAAGCAGGAGTTCTGCGTACTGGATAGCAAGCAGAGGGCACCAAGGCACTTCGTCACGTCGTCCTCGCCTCACAAGACCGATGTTCGTTATCAAACCGTCAAGGATGTACGCTCCACTGCTGTCAGCTTCTCGGAGCCAAGTTTAGGAAGCCAGAGCGGATGTGTGCGCAGAGTATGCCTCGGATATGAAAGTAATTTCGCCGTTTCCGGGTTGGAATTCGTGAGGAATTCCAACCAGGATCGTCCAACATTTCCAAATTGGATTTCCTATGTTGGCTAACATGATGAACACACACTGCACCCCAGCTCTCCAAACGTGGCTCGAAGAGGCTCACAGCAATGCACTGGGAGGCCTGGAAGGTTTGATTGCACACGGGTCTCTGTGAGGCGAGTACTGAGTGCCAAAAGCGCGTTGGTGTGTTTTTCCAACGCAGTGCGCAGAACTCCTGCGGCCTCATGTGGGTATGAAATGTCACAGGCGTAACAATCAGGATCTCAAATCGGAAAATTTCTCCATAACAACGCCAACAATGGACACAGCCGCCAGCATGCCACCGCCCCCCCTGCCCCCCCCTGTGGTCCGTTAAACACTCCCCTCCCCTGGCCCACTCCTGGTGCGAACACGTTTTTTTTTTTTTCTTCAGGAACGGGCTGCTGAGGCCAGCGCCGCAAGGCTGCGCTCGGTGGACCGGTTGATATCAGGGCAGGGGGTGTCGGCTGCCTCAGCAGCAGCGGAAGAGGCAGGAGGAGCGGTGGTGGTGCCGAACGGAGAGGCGTTTTCGAGGTCGAGGGAGGCGGCACAGCAGTCCGCGGCGGCGGAATATCTACCGGTTGAAGGCGCGGCGGATCTCGGGCCGGAAGAACCCCCCCCTTCGGTAAGAGGGCCTCCTCTGTGTATTGTTGTTGTTTTGGTATTGACGGTTTCGCTGTTCGTCGTTCGGCGCTCTCTACAGCAGAACCTTGTCACCCCGAAAGCCTCTCTCTTTTTTCTCTCTTTTGTGTCTGTCTGTCTGTCTGTCTGTCTGTCTGTCTGTCTGTCTTTTTTTTTTCTCTCTCTCTCTCTCTCTCTCTCTCTCTCTCTCTCTCTCTCTCTCTCTCTCTCTGCTCTCTCTCTTTCTCTTGACACCCTCTGTGATACACGTGGGGGAGCTTGTTGCCCGGCGGCAGCAGCAGCAGCAGCAGCAGCAGCAGTAGCAGCGGCGGCGGCAGCAGCAGGAGTAGTAGTAGACGCGTCGAACCGCACTTGCCGCGCTTCGTTTTTCGAAAGAAAGTGGTCGGCCGTTGCTTCCTTACGGCACCGCCAGGCACTTCCATCCTTGTGGTGGCCCTTGGTGCTGAGATTCCTCGTCCGGCAAGTCACGCGAATCAATCTTATCCCCCCGCCCCGCCCCCGTCTCTCCCTGTTTGCGACGCCCCCTCTCCCACCCGAAGCACGCCGCACTTCCAGCCCCGGCTGTATCCACCCCCTGCTAGCCCTTTCATTCGGGCAACAATCGCGAGGAAAAATCGGGAAAAATCGCCGGCGCTATCAATCGTTGTTCGTTGGGTCGGTTGCACCTACCCCTGCCGACCGTTTCATTCGGGTAAACATCGCCTGTAAGCATCGCTGAGAACCCGCGTTGCTGTTTGTGCCGCCGCCTCTTTCCCCGTTGCTACGTCAGGAGGGGATTGAGTTCGTGTGGGACGATGCTGCCGAAGAAGGGTCGGGGAGTGGCGACGGCGTTGCAGAGGTAAGGGGGGGGGGGGGGCAAATCCGACAAAAGCAGTGGCCCCCGATTTTGATCTGAGGGAGGAAACGCGTGAATGCTTGTAGTGTACCCCCTTTTTTTTGTCGTTGGAGCCGTCGGTTGCTTGTTGGCCATTGGTTTGCTTGGCTACATGATGCACGTTTACCTTACAGATGCGAGAGAACGCACGGGGGTGCGATCGATTTTGCTAAGCGTATTTTCTCCACAACCAGGAGGGTACCACTGTCGAAAAGGGTGGTTTTGGAAATATCTCATCGAGAGCTTTCCTGAGAGGTATCAGTTGGTGCTCGCACCCTCCTGGGTGCGGAGAAATTACGCTTTGAAAATCGATCGCACCTCCCGTGCGTTCTCGCGCATCCGTACGGTAAACCTTGTTGATGTACCATTTGATATACCATAATGTATGCACTGCTGTCGTTGTTGTAGGCGGTGTTGGTGTTGCTCTGTTGCCGAGTGCAAGACCACCGTCTGCCGTTGTTCTTGGTTTCATGCCCCCCCGTCGCTGTCTTCCTATGTAAGCCAGCACTGGTGTTATCCATAGTTTCTCCTCATGCCGGTCTTCTTCCTTGCCCGTAACGTGTGTGATTACGGTTGTCACATGTGTACGACACCGCTGCGGTTCCCGCCCGGCTCTCGGCAGGAGGAGGAGGAGGAGGAGGAAGAGGAGGAGGAAGAGGAGGAGGAGGAGGAAGAAGAGGAGAAAGACGAGCACCAACCCGTCGAAGACACGAAGCACCGAGCGGCGGCGGTAGTAACTTCACGCGAAGAGGAGGAAGAGGAGGAGGAGGAGGGCGTCGAGGGAAGAGGGGAAGACAGCCACCGGGACCCCCCGCCGCCGGTGTCGCCCGCAGCAGCAGCAGCAGCAGCAGCGACAGGCAGAACGGCGTCGAAGAGGCTGGAACGTCTTGGAGAAAAGCACGGGGTGGAGCTGGACGATCGCCTGGCGGAGCTGCTTAGGTACGGGGGGGGGGGCGTGCGCGCGTGCCTACCTGCCTGCTTTGCCTGCCTCGTTCAGTTGTTTTTGACGCGTAGTGTGCGGTCTTGGTGCTGTCGGGTACCTCGAGCAGCAGTTCAGCGTCTTGGAGTTCGTCTTTATGGCTGTTGTGGGTGGGTTAATGGGAGGTTGTGCTGCACTGCTGTATCGTCCCTTCCCGGGCACTGTTTTTCGTGTGTCGCGGTTTGTTGCCACGGGTGCATCGTTTACGGTAGCAGATTCACAGTACCGCTGCAGTACTTCAAGAAGGTGTCAGATGCCAACAATCCCGACCCAATGCCGACCCAGATCTCGTGCGTGTTTCTGTTTTCGGCATTGCCGCGTCATGCCCGGCCCAGCCTGTGCGTGTTTACCCTTGGGATCGTGTGCCCCCTTCCTTATTTTTACTCCTGAAGTTTGTTGCGCTGGCTGCTGCGGCTGCGGCTGCTGCGGCGGCTGCGGCTGCTGCTACTGTTTTTGTTGTTGTTGCGCTGATTTGTATTGCGCTGCTGCTGCTGCTGCTGCTGACGTTTGCTTTTTGGGGGGGGCTGAAGCGACGGCAGCGACGACGACGACGGCGGCGGCGTCTACGGAGAAGGGGGCTACGACTACGAGCTAGAAACGGCGAAACGGGCAGGAGCTGCGTCCGAGGCTGCGGCGGCGGGCGAGGGAACGGTCGAAGGGATGCGGGAAAGGCTTCAGGCAGAGACAGAGGTCCGTTTTTCATCTCGTTGCGCTGCTCTCACTCTCCTCATGCCCATGCTTGTGGGCGAAGTTTCCCGCAGTTTGTTGACGCCCCCGCAGCAACGTAACTTCCTTGCAAGGACCAAGTAAAATAGGATGTTTTTCGAACATTGTTTCCGGATCAGGCTAAACATTTGTTTACTCCTTTTCGACGCGGTTTGTCCTGGAGCGAAAGGCCGTTGCAGCAAGGGGAAGGGTATCGCCGTATTCGGCGCCGACAAAGGCGCAGTTTTTACCGCGGTTCGGCGTTTTTGGTGCTCGTTCTCGTTCCGATGCGAACGGAAATTGGGCCTATACGTGCGGAGCAGTAGATGTTCTGATAAAGACTAGCTTGGGTTAATGAGCGGACGGTAGGGGTTGGGAATGCTGATGCTGGTACATACGAAGATGGATTGACCAGGTAACATGCACGCGCTCTTCTTTGCTATCCAGATTGCATAGTTGATGATATAACACTCACCTAAGTGTTTGTTTTTGCATTCGTTGGGCGAGCGCGTTTGTGGCGCCCCCAGCAGCCTTCGCTAAGATACAAAGGTTTTTACTATATATCGGGCACGAGGGTGGGTTGGTGCTAGGGTAAAAGGGATACAGGGTACGAAGGCCCCCTCTCTATTTCATACTCCATAAAATAGTAACATCCTCTTGAAGGTGGCCTGTCGCCCCACCCCTGATATCTCAGCCTCCAGAAAACGAAATTCGTCTAGTCAGCAGCGCACCCCAGCCACCACCACCACCACCACACCAACCCCGACCTGTACCATGTGTTTGCCGTTGCCAATCCCCCCCCCCCCCCCCCCTGGACACCCTCGTTCGACTCAAAAACCGAACGGT